GAAAACATTCCTTCATCTAGTTCTTTAAAAGAAATCTAAGCCCAGTGTGACAGCTCCTGCTTATGACCCCAGCACTTGAGAGGTTGAGGCAGGAGGATTGCCATAAATTCAAGACCGTCTTCAGCTACATAGGGAGGTCCAGGCCTTCCTCACTATAGAATGAGACCCTGTCACAAACAAACAAACAAATAAAACAAACAACAATAACAAAAAGACGTCTAAAGTCTATCTAGAAACTTCCTTCATAGGAAAAAAACAAATAGCACCATAGCCTCTTGTGATACACACACCATGGCCTCATGTGACACACACTCCATAAAGAATGTTGGAAATGGATTTAAACATAGAATCTGAGCCTAGATTTAGACTATTTAACCTGTGGGATCTTAGGTTCACAATCTATTAGGATCTTAGGTCACTCAGTCTATAAAAAGAGAAATTCAACTCTCCAGGTTGCTGTAAAGAAGTAGTTTTCAACCTTCCTCACACTGTGACCCGTTAGTGCAGCTCCTCATGTGTGGAGACCCCAACGATAAAATTATTTTTGTTGCTACTTCATAACTATAATTTTGCTATGGTTATGAATCATAATGTAAATATCTGATGTGCAAGATATCTGACATGAGACTCCTGTGAAAGGCTCCTTTGACCCTCAAAGGGGCTATGACCCACAGGTTGAGAAGCACTGTTGAAAAGGCAGAAGGAGGGGGTTGTGGAATATTCCTTTACATTATATGAAGATATGTCACTGTGATTGGTTTAACAAAAAGCTAAACATCCAATAGCTCGGTAAGATTCTCAAGGTAGAAACCACACCGGGAAGAAGAAGGCAGAACTGAGGGGAGATGCCAGGAGTCGCCAGACAGACGAAGAGGAAGCAGCATGGGCAGTATGAAGGTAGGAAAGCCACAAGACAAAAAGTAGATTGATTAAAAACAATGGGTTAATTTAATTTACAAGAACCACTAAGTAACACGCTTAAGCTATCAGCAAAGTTTTCATAATTAATAAGTCTGTGTTGTTTCTTGTGAGCTGGTGGCGCAAAGAAAAATCCAGCTACAGAAAGGGAGAGGAAGGAAGGGAAAGTGGGAGAGGGTGGAAGAACATTAAACTATGTGGTGTCCTAAAATATATTAGTTTAATTAAAATCAGGGATGCTATACTAAAAAGGTTGCGAATGTGTTATCAGAAGAAAAAAGGTACAAAGGAATGGTGTCTTTACTCAGTTGGGGCCGACCTTCTTGGTAGAGCAATGGTTCTCCACCATCCTAATGCTGTGACCCTTCAAAACAGGTTCTCATGGTGACCCCACAGGATCTCACTTTTTAACCCAGGCGAATGTAGAACTCGCTATGCAGCTTAGGAAGGCCTCAAACTCATAGTAATCCCTCTGCCTCTGTAAATGCTGGAATTACAAATTTGAGGCACCATGCTCTGAAGAAAAAAAATATGATTAAGGAAGTCTGCATGGCTGGGTGGTGGTAGTACATGCCTTTAGTCCCAGCACTTCGGAGATAGAGACAGATAGATCTCTGTGAGTTCAAGACCAGCCTGGTCTATAAAGTGACAGGCTCCAAAGCTACAGAAAAAACCTATCTCAAAAAAATAAACAAGAAGGAAGGAAGGAAGGAAAGAAGAAAAGAAGTCTGCTTGAACTTTATATCCCTTCTCAGTAGGTCAAAATAATCACATCTTTGAAGATGTATAAGTGCCTGAGAAGGGGGACCAGGCATCAATTCATGTCATGAGGAGAACTTCTCTTTGTGTTGCATCTGATAGGCTTTTCATTTGGTGAGAAGCCCCTTGGTTTCGGGATTTTGACTGGTCTCATTCATCAACACTTACAGGGTTGGCCACATATGTCTTAAATGTAAAACAGTAAATACCCACACCCCATCCTCTTCTATTCTTTTCTCTTCCCATGGTCTATTTAAGAACATGGATGGACCACATTACCCCTGAGATTGGCACATCGAGTTAGTCAACCCACTGAGGACTGAGCTCTCCAGCTCACTGATTCATACCCTCTGGGCAAAATGGTAATTGTTGCTAACATTCCACACCTTTCTCTTCCCTGGACCGCCAGTGAGTTCAGCTAACCAAGGCCCTTTCATATTACACAAATAAATATTGAAATAGACGAAATGATGATGATCATAAAGAATTTCAATTTGAGATTTTTTTTAGGTAAGACAAAAAAGTGAATTATTCTGTTGGCCTATAAGGAAACATTAACTGAACTAATATTAGGTATATTCTTATAGCTTTAGGCTGCCAGTGTTTTTATGAAATTCAGTAATTTCATCCTGCAGTCTATGGCAGGGTCACTGGGCAGGGACAGGGAGGGGGCTTAGACTCTATTCTCAGGTCTCACTCTGGCTTGTGAGCACCACTTGCCTCATCATCTTCTAGAATTACTTAGACTCAGTTTTTCTAGTAATACAGAATGATTTCATAAACGTGTAAGCCAGGCCAGGCAGTGGTGGCGCATACTTTTAATCCCAGCACGTGGGAAGCAGAGGCAGGAGGATCTCAGTGAGTTCAAGACCAGCCTGGTCTACAAAGCAAGTTCCAGGACAGCCAGGACTGTTACATGGAGAAACTCTGCTTCAAAACAACAACAAAACAAACAAACAAACAAAAACAACCCCAAAACTTTAAGCCAATGAATAAGAGGATACAACATCATTTTGGCAATTAAAATTCCCAGGTGTCTTTCCTGAAACATTGACTAATGTGACGTGTCTGTAGAGATACAATTATAAAGAAAACATGGTTGATTATTTGCTTGAGAGGGGAGTGTAGCTGAGTGGTAGAGCTCAGCATGTGTGAGGGCCCAAGTTCCCCAGGATCATAAAAGAAGTATTTGATTTTGTTTCCCCTAAGTTGCCACACAGATAGGAAGTGATGATCAAGGAAATAGTATCAATTCTGTAAAAGATTTCTTTTAAATCTACCTAGAATGTTGTTATGAAAAGAGAAATGTCCTTTTTTATGGTTTCTACTAGCATTTTTAAGTACCTAGTGGTCTCCAAGTTGTGACCAAATCATTTCTATTTGGAAAAGATCACTGTTTATAGTCCTGTTCTTCATAGAGCTTCTGCAGAAACAGTGCAGGTGGATATGCTTAAAGAAAACCACAGGGTTGGTGATGGTTGAAAATCCTTCTCATTTACATCATTGTTTCTAATCAAGAGGCAGCTTACAAATTCAGAGTGTGTATACTGTATTGACTAGACAGCAAATACCTCGGCTGACAGCTGAAGATACCATTCAGTTGATCCTAGCTATGCCAGGATTTTTGCAAAGTGCTAAAGAAAGGTGTGTAGGTAGCCAGGGATCTTGAAATCTAACAATAGCTGACAGACTGCCTCTAATCTGTTTAATCGTGTGTGTGTGTGTGTGTGTGTGTGTGTGTGTGTGTGTGTGTGTTTGATAACTGTATCCTATATAAATAGCAGAAGGCTTGACAGAAAAGTTACCTATGCTATCACCAGAGGAATTGTTATTCTTTATAATGAAACATTCTAATTTTTTAAAAATATGACAACTCATTATGTCATCCAGGCTAGCCTCAAGCGTTCTTCCTGCATTGGCCACCCCAGTAGCTGTGACTACAGGCTTACACTACCACATAGTTTAAGTTTTGAGTTGTTTATTTTGAGACAGGAACTTACTGTGTAGCCCAGGCTAATCTTGCCCTTGCTATGTAGCACAGGCTAATATTGAACTTGTGATTCATCTGCCTCTGCCTGCCAAGTGCTGAGATTAAAGACAAAGGCATATGTTATCACACTTTCATTTTAATTGTTAGAGATTGTAATGACAATGTGTTTTATTATATACTATCAGATCCAAACCTCAGATTCAGGGATATTGCTCAATGGTAGAACTTAACATGTACAAGGGGCACTGGGCACTGGAGGAAGAAGGAAGGAAGGAAGGAAGGAAGGAAGGAAGGAAGGAAGGAAGGAAGGAAGGAAGGAAGGAAAGAAGGAAGGAAGGGAGCAGTCAGGTAATTCCAACACAACCTGAAGGCCTACTTGGTCTAATATAGTGAGATCCTCTCACTCTGTCTCTCATAACAGGAAAAGCATTTAAAGCTCAGACACAGACACAAAATGGTGTTTCTGAAACGTAATCTAAACCACAAAATTTCCAGCCAAGAAAGACCCAAGATCCAGGGCTAGGCCAGGAACTGGAAGGGATCTTTGCAAGCATTGTCAGAACTGCAGATGCTTGGCAACAATGTTAGGGATTAGTAACCAGGAGACCAGAGTCCAAAACCAGGAAATGTAGCTATGCTGGTTACAAATGTACCCACAATCAAACTTCAAATTCTTCGATGACACATTTTTATTCCCTCATTCAAAAAATATGTTAAGCACCTAACACACCAGGGAGTATCCTAGATACTGAAGAATCTTAGTGACTAATACAGACAAAGGCTATTGACTTTGTGTAGCTTATATTCTAGTGGGGATGGGGTGGGAGGGGACATCAACAGGTAAAATGCACAATAAGCTCATAGAAATGAGTCTATGTGGAAAGTGCAGGTGGAGAATTCTGTGGGTAATAAGTAGACACAGAATTTTAAACCCTGTACTGAGGAAAATAGTAATAAATAGGGGCGCAGGGGAGGGTAGCTGGCTGACTCAGTTGGTAGACTGCTTAGCTAGCTTTGAGTTTCATCCTCAGAGTTGCAGGGGTAAAGATAGACAGATAGATAGATAGATAGATAGATAGATAGATAGATAGATAGATAGACAGACAGACAGATAGATAATCACCAGAGAGTCACACAGGTCTCTGAAGAAGGCTAGACAGAGTACAGCAGACTCAGACTCTGCCAAAGGAGCACACACAGGGTTGAGCGGTGTGAACAGAGAAATGGGTGGTGTCAGAAGATTAAGGAGGCATGTCAGTAAGGTGGGGCTCCTGGATCACTGTGAGGACTCCAGTGTTTCTGGGCGTGAGGTAAGAGACTGTCAGAAAATTCTGAGCAAAAGAAAAGCACAAGTAACAGCTTGAAAGGCCTCCTGACTTATGCTTTCTCTGTATACGCTCCTGGTGCAAGGGTGTGAGAGAGGCCATTTGAGCATGGATTGCAGTGTTCTCAAGAGGAAAGAATGGTAGCTCGCCTGTGCGAGCTGGTCATGACAGAGGAAGAGGGGGAATGGGCACCTGGATGCTGTTTGGAAGTGGAGGCATCAGGCGTGAGAGGAAGAGGAAGCCAAAGGTGACAATTAAGAATTCTGGCCTGAAAACCTAGGGGGAAAAAAAGACATTTTTTTTTATTGAAATGGGGAAGGAAGTAGGAAGATTCTTAATTTTGCTTGTGGCATAATAGCCTGGCATAATACCAGACAAGTTGCTGTCTTTGTGTTTGCTGATAACCTAGTCCAGATGAATGTCTATGTATTTGGGTCAAGAGTTGCTTTAGACACAAGAATGACTCCTTAGCTTCCAAACTAAGGTTTTGTTCCAGACTCTGAGGTAAATTTAAAACCAGTGGTGTGCAATAGATGGCTTGCTCAAAAGCCAGGATATTATAAGGTATATAACACACTTAATATTTCTTAAGAATTAAGCCATGGGGTTATAGGTGGGAAAGTATTTTAAAACAGGGGTGAATGTATTTAAAACTCATTCCTTATTCCCTAAATTTCACTACTGTCTAGGCTCTCCCTACCCACCCACCTTGGTTTTTCAAGACAGGGTTTCTCTCTGTAGCCCTGGTGGTCCTGGAACTTGTTCTGTAGACCAGGCTGGCCTCAAACTCATAGAGATCCACCTGCCTCTGCCTCCCAAATGCTGGAATTAAAGGTGTGTGCCACCATCGCCTGGTTTTGTCTAGGCTTTTGAAGCAACCTGAATGTATGTACCTGTACTTACAATAATGGTGAGCCCCAAACGCCTCTCCTTCCAACAATGTGTTGATTTCTGGAACAATAAAAATAATGCTCGGCCGGGTGTTGGTGACGCATGCCTTTAATCTCAGCACTCGGGAGGCAGAGTCAGGCAGATCTCTGTGAGTTTGAGGCCAGTCTGCTCTACAGAACAAGTTCCAGGACAGCCTCCAAAAAAAAAAAAAAAAAGCTCAAGTCAAGTAATCACGCTCACTATGAAGTTTTACTGAACTGTGGACATCATAGGGGAAAAAAAACTGAAGCTTTAAACTGGAAGCCAGCGAGTAATGATGGGAGATGTCAGAGCTTTAAATTGGCCATGAGATAAGCGCTGATGACAGGGAAATTGACAAATGGTAAAAATTAGGCAGTTGTGGAACATGAACAAATTGTTCGTGTTTTGTAAATACACACAGGGATAACAGAGTATTACTGTGTGGTTATGCAGGGTCTTCCAAGCTAGACAGCAAGGGTTGGGAACTAAAGGAACCCAAGTAGGACCTTCAAGGAATTCCACAGAACCAAATGCCTTACATACCGATCAAGCCGGGAATGGCTAAGAGAGATGAGCATTCACGTTTAGTAGAATTAAACCCGGACCAAATTGCCAGTTGTGGGTAGATTAGCGGCTTTGGACTGCTTCCTTGTATACTAGGTGTCATGGCGGAGATGAGACGCTGGCTAGTGGACGCCAGTGAGACGGTCTTGCTAGGCCTCTTTAAACAGCGATGTTAAAGGTTCTAAAGACATCGATCACTCCCGAGAGGCAGCTAGAAAAAAACAGTGCAGTTTATTGTTTTTATGTTACAAGAAAGGCAGCTGGAATGTAGAGAATAGTGGTGAATTACTGAGGAAAACAGAAAGAATGAGTCATTCCACAGAAGTGAGAAAAAGCTGGGAGTCCTAACATCCTGGCCATGACCCAGTGGACAACGGTAAGAGTACAGCTTTTAGTGCTCTGGTCTTTACTGTTGGGCAGGATTGAAAACATGTGTATCAGCGTTGAGGATGTAGTTCCTTTGATCAAGTGCTTGTCTAGCATGCATGAGGCTGTGGGTTCAATCCCCAGCATTGCATACACCGGGTGGTGGGCATATCTACAATCCTAACACTTAGATGATCAGAAGTTCAAGATTATCTTCAGTTACATAGTAAGTTTGAGGCTACCCTTGGCCACTTGAGACCCACTTTAAAAATGTATAGCATTCAATGTGCTGTGATTCCAGCAAATGGGAGGCTGAAACAGGATAGTTCAAAGTCAGTCTGAGCTGTGTAGAGAAACTGTGTCTCAAAAAAAAACAAAAAAACAAAAAACACCAAAATACGTGTATCATCTACAGCATGGTAATTAAAACAAAGAAAAGTTGAAAGCGACAAGAGCTGGTGAGGAAAACATACATCCTTAATCTCCAATTTTCTCCAAGTTCTCCCACTTGATTATTGCATGTGTCTAAAACTACACTTTCCCCATTTTACTCGGATATATGCATTCTCTAGCTCCCATCCTTGCTCACTGGCTTTTGGTTTTGAAGCGCCAAAGTTTTTGTACTTTTCCTATCAATCAAGATGCAAAGCTCTCAGCTGCTGCTCCAGCACCATTCATGACACCACCCTCCCCTCCGTGATGATAACGGACTAAAAATCTAAAACTACAACAAGCCCCCCCACTTAAATGTTTTCTTTTATAAAAGTTGCTTTGGTCATGGTGTCTCTTCACAGCAGTAGAACAGCAACTAGGATATGCCCAAAGGCATTTCTGTTTGTCATCTTTACTACACAAGTTGGGCGTGTACCAAGTGTTCATGTCCACCATTTTAACCTCCGGAACAAATATTCATGGCCTGGAGCAAAACACCACAAGAAATCTTTCCTTTTTCAACTATGACCTTAAGTTGAGACTGCCCAGGATTGTGCCTTCCTCAATAATGAGGTTGTTTAGGTTCCCAGAACAAAATCCTCATGCTTTCTTTGTTTGAGGAGACATTGCTTTAGAAATAGCATGTATGCTCTCCCTACCTGATGCAGGCACCAAATCCTCCTCCATGCCCTTATGACCACGCTTTGTTTCTGACTTCATACTCACCAAGTTTTGGGGAGCCTATTGTGATCAGTCATAGTTGTCTATTGATTTAGTCACTTTACGAAAGTCTGCTTTTATTTTCCTTGGAGGTTTTTTGGGGGGGGCTTTGTTTTATTATTATTTATTTACTTATTTTGTTTTTTTTTTTGAGACAGGGTTTCCCTGTATTGTTTTGGAGGCTGTCCTGGAACTCGCTCTGTAGACCAGGCTAGCCTTGAACTCACAGAGATCTACCTGCCTCTGCCTCCTGAGTGCTGGGATTAAAGGCATGCACTACCAATGCCTGGCTGCTTTGTTTTATTTTATTTGCTCCAAAGTATAAAAAAAAATGATGACCTTCAAGAGGCTTACTGTGTATTCAATTCTATTTTCTTTTGATTTTTCCATTATTTAATAACTACTCTTTAAATAAGTCAACATTAATTTTGATCTATAGTATGGAGGAATAATCTAAGATCCCTTTTTACAAATTGAAAAGCACTTTGCTTTGTTTTATTTTATTTTGATGTACCCTAGGCTGGTATGGAACTCCCTATGAGGCCCAGGTTAGCCTTAAACTCAGGATCTTCCTGTGTCAGCCTCCTGAGTGTTGGAGGCACCTGGCCTAAAAGGCTAAATATTTTGGAATGATTCTTCCTTTCCTTATTGTATTATACATGGCATATATATATATGCATATATATGTATGTATATATATATGTACTGTTTCTGCTCTATTCTAGTTTTTCATTTGTTTTACTGTAATAGTGTTGCAGAATATTTGTTTAGCTGTACAAAGATGTGCTGCATTTGATTAACTATGTAAAGATGTGTTGCTGTTTTATCTTGCCTGCCTAAGGCACCTGATTGGTCTAATAAAAAGCTGAACAGCTAATAATGAGGGAGGAGGTACAGACAGGACTTCCAGGCACAGGGAATAAGTAGGAGAGGGAATTTAGGCCAGGGCAGGAAGAGGAGACGCCAGGGGCCAGACACTCAGACTTGGAGGAATCAGGGAAGTTGGACATACAGAACGAAAGAAAGGTTAAAAAGCCCTGAGGCAAAACATAGATGAAGAGAAATAGGTTAAATCAAATCAAAAGAGCTGGTGGGACAAGCCTAAGCTAAGGCCAAGCATTCATAATTAATAATAAATCTCCGTGTCTTTATGTGGGAGCATTTGGTGGCCCAAAGAAAATGCCAACTATATAATAAATCTTAGTAGACTATTAGTGTAGTCCGTCTTTGTAATGAAAAAGCTCTTTTGAGCTAGGGAGGTGGCTTTGCAGGTAAAGACGCTTGCTGCTAAACCTGATGACCTCGGTCCCATCCCCAGATCCCACATGGTGGAAAGAAAGAACCAACTCCTGCAGGTTGTCCTCTGATCTCCACATGTGCCCTGTGGCGTGGACAGGCACCCCGCACAATAAATAAAGACATGGAAAGCAATGTTTTCCATCTTTTGTATCTTATTCTCCCAGATAAATTGTTAGAATGGTTGTACTTAGTTCAAAGATTTTAACACTAATTACTGTCCTTTGTTCTTTGATAGGACCATGCCTACTCCTCCAATGTGGCCACTTACGTTAACAATTACCAATTAGGTTAACAGTAAGGGAACGGCATGTGGAGTTGACTCATGCTGCTGAATTCTTCAGTGTTGTCGGAAACCCTTGGAAAGTCTCTGAGTCTGACCAGGATTTGTTTTTTTAAGACTTAAAAGTAACAAAACATCTATACAAAGTTCTCCCTGGGAAGCTGTGTGATGAATTGGAAGAAGAAAGATTTCTCTTCGAAGCAAGTAAATACAAAGAATGTGAAGCCCAAGTGATTGAAAATAGAAATTTAATGTGCCCTCGAGTATGTTATATATCTTGCAATAAACCCTTTACAATGTTCTCAAAATTGAAGCCATGCGCTGTTGACAATTTGACAATATAGACTCTTGTGCTTGTTGTCCCACTCAAGTTATTTTTCACGTACATTAATTTGCCTGAGAATCATTTTGAACCTTGAGAGAAGATATTTTTTTCTTTAACAATTATTTTAAAAAGTGAAAGCATCTACATTTTGTGGCAATTATTTCTCAGCAGAAAGCAAAATTTCTGTTGTAGCATACACAAAAGCTTTCAGGCTTTCAGATGGGGCTCTGTGCATCACCACTATGATCTTGGGGCTATTGGCAACACCATCCTTTTTATCTTTTTTTTGAGACAGGGTTTCTCTATATTGTTTTGGAGGCTGTCCTGGAACTCGCTCTGTAGACCAGGCTGACCTCAAACTCACAGAGATCTGCCTGCCTCTGCCTCCCAAGTGCTGGGATTAAAGACAGGACAAATGTGTCTTGTTACAGCTCAGGCTGGCATAGAACTTACTATGTAATCTAGGCTATCCTCCAGTTCACAGCAATCCTCCTGCCTCAGCCTCCCAACTCCCAAGATGACTGGCATGAGCCACCATGCCAAGATTCCTACATTTCTTTTCAAGGTGGTTGTGCTGGCTAGTTTCATGTAAACTTGACACAAGCTAGGATGATCTGGGAGGAGGGACCCTCAATTAAGAAAATGCCTCCCTAATACCTGGGTGCAGAACATTTTCTTAGTCATTGATGGGGGAGGGCTGAGCCCATTTGTGATTGGGGGCCATCCCTGGGCTGGTGGCCCTGGGTTCTATAAAAAAGCAGGCTGAGCAAGCCATAGGGAGCAAGTCAGTAAGCAGCTCCCCTCCATGGCCTCTGCATCAGCTGCTGCCTCCAGGTTCCTGCCCTCACTGCTTTTAATGGTGAACTGTTTGTTTTATGATACTACGAGTGAAACAAACCCTTCCCTCCCCATGTTGCTTTTGGTCATGGTGTTTCATCACAGCAAGAGTAACCCTAACTAAGACAATGATCCCACCAGAGACATTTCATCATAGAAGCTTCAAGTCTTCCCAGATACAAGTTCCATTTTTCCTCTTGCTTTTTATAATCACCCTCTTGCTGATAAAACATTATATTCCAATTTTTGGATTGTTGTGTTTGCTTAAGCTAAATACTTTTCTAGATATCTCTATTAATTGATTTCCTGTTGCTTTGCCTTGTTATCTTAATGAAGCATCAATGGTGACTTGGGTGGATGTGTGTTTACTCCTGTGACTGGGTAGCCACACCCTGGTAATTACAGGCTTGGTTGCCATTCAAAACTAGTACACTCATCGCTAAAACATTACAACATTATGCTGCCTGATCTTAGTGAGTTTGGAAACAACTGAAGAAATCCACCAAAAATGATGGGCCTTTGAAATTATCAAGTTCAAAATTTTATAAGAAAAAAATCAGCCGGGTGGTGGTGGCACCTTTTATCCCAGCACTCGGGAGGCAGAGGCAGGTGGATCTCTGTGAGTTCGACACCAGCCTGGTCTACAAGAGCTAGTTCCAGGACAGCCTCCAAAGCCACAGAGAAACCCTGTCTCAGAAAAAAAAAGAAAAAGAAAAATCACAGTTCCAAGTGACCCATTCACTCTTTTCAATAGCTTATAAAAGTCTGGCTCCTTCCTTGGCCCAGCTGACAGCCTACAAATATTTGAAGGATCAAAAATGCACAGGGAAGATTTAGGGTTCAGAATTCTCTGGAGGAAAGCATTATGAAGTCAGTCAATAGGATTTATTGCCTTTTCAGAGAACAATCAAGAGTGTGTAAGAATTGTTTGAAATGACGGGAGTGGTTGAGTGAATGTATACATGGACTACTAGCCTTTAAAAGCCATGCTGTGAGTCTGTGCTCACTGACATGTGCTGGTCAGTTTTCCGTCACCGTCACAAAGACCTGGACAATGAACTTATGAAGAGGAAGTGTTCATTTCCATCTTGGCTCACAGCTGCAGACATTTCTGTCCATCGCTGGTTGGTGGTGGGTTGGGGCCTGTAGTGAACACCATGGGGGGAGCACAAGGCTGAGCAGAACTGGTCACCTTCTTGTCACGATGCCTGATTCCATCTCTGGCCTCTGCAGGCACACACACACACACACAGGCAGGGTGAGCATACTCATCCCTGACACACGCGTGCTCATATACACACTCTGTAAGAGCAATACAAAGGAAGATGCCTGGAGATGACTGCAAGGGTAAAAGTGGTTGCCAGGTGAATGCAACCGCCTGAGCTTGACCCATGAAAAGACAGAAGAGGCGGAAGGAGAGGGCTGGCCCCACAAATCTTCTTCTGGCCTCCACCGGTGCACGCTGCCACGCCACCACACACAGAGTAATCACAATAAATAATTTCGTAAATGAAAGGCAGCTGAGCTTTTGTGCCACTGGTTTCACTTGCCTATGAGCGTCCTGTTAAGATACTATTCATGAAGGGAACAAATGAGTCGTAAAAACTCTACTGGCGTGAAAAGAGCAGGGCTTGTGTGCCTGGTACCTGTGGGAAGCTGCGTTATCAAGAAACACCTCCAAGGCATTCTGCAGCATCCTTGAACTCTGACCTGTGGTCTTTAACCTGCCCTTTTAGTGACAGAAGGAAAACTGATCTCCTGGTATATATTTAATTTCAAGAAAAAAAAAAAGCAGTTGTTTTACACTGACTCATCATGGAATAAACTTCCCATGCCAGTGGGTGAAGTTATATAGAGCAGAACAAAACACTCACTGTTGATGTTTGCCCATGGCCTAGCACATACTTCACATGGAGCTTCAAATTTCAGGAAGAGGCTCTAAAGCAAAGTTTGGTTAGTGGATCTTTATGCTATTTTTAATTACTAGGATCATAGGACAGACAATATATATTTGGAGATGTAGCTCGACAAAGAGCTTGCCTAGTATGTACAAGGCAGCACTGTGGGGGGGGGGCGAAGCTATGCATGGTAGAGTAGCCTATAGTACAAGCACTTGGGAATCTGGGACAGGAAGATCACAAGCCTGATGCCAGTCCTGGCTCTAAAACCATAGCAGGATGTCAGCAAGAAGGCTCAATGGTTAGGAGTGGGTACTGCTCTTGCAGAAGAGCCAAGTTCAATTCCCAGCACCCAAGTTAGTGGTTCACAACTACCAATGCCAGGAGGTCCAATACCCTCTTCTGGACTCTGCCTGTCCACATATGTGTGCACATTCAATTAAAAATAAAACACATCTTTAAAAACCATAACAATATAATCCCCAAGCATGGCGACTCTTGGTTGGCCAGAGAGAAGAATTACACTAAAAGCAAAACAAGAAACCTGGGGTGGGAAGATGGGAGTGCAGGAGGGTGTGGTGGTTTGAATGATAATGCTCCCATTGGTTTATGTGCTTGAATACTTGGTCACAGTTGGTGGAACTGTTTGGGAAGGATTAGGAGGCGTGGTGTTGTTGAAGGAGGTGTGTGCTGGGGGTGGGCTTTGAAGTTTCAAAAGACTCAGGCCATTTTCAGTGTCTCTTTCTCAGTCCCCAACTTGGGAATCAAGATGTAAGCTCTCAGCTGTTTCTGCTACCATCATGGATTCTAGCTCCCTGAAACTAAGTGCTTCCTTTTATAAGTTGCCTTGTTCTTGGTGTCTTGTCACAGCAATAGAAAAGCAATTACAACAGACAGGGATTGCACATTGCTATCCCTTAAAAAGCATCATACACAGGCTAGGATAGGTGTGTAACTCAGGGTCTCTGCTTAGCATGGGCTCACCTTAGGTCAAACCCTCAGTGCATTTATTTTGATGATTATACTATGTGACTAGATTTAATAAATGCATAAGAAAGAAGACCCAGGTAATAGCAGGGAGGGAGGAAGGTGGAAACTTAGAGTCTGAAAGTCATGGCTGTTGCCATTTTGTGTTGACCTGAACTTCTTCAGCAAATCACTTTAATTCTTATCACTTACTAGCTTCTAAAATAGTGGTAGAATTGGACATGGTGGCACATGTGTATAATCTCAGTATTCAGGAGGCTGAGTTCAAGAGCAGCCTCAGTTACATAGTGAGTTTTAGGTCAGCCTCAGCTTGAGCTACATGAGGCCCCTATCTCAAAACCAACAAACCAAGTGATCTAACATCTATATTCTTTTCTTTCTGTCTATCATTTTCTCTTTCTCGTTCATTAATTCAATCATTCATTCATTAACAAGTATTTGAAGACAGTATCAGGCTAGGCAATGAATCAAAAATAAAATTGATGCTTCCATTTAGTATTACACTGTTAGGAAGCTCATTTAATAGCACATGTAAATTTGCCATCCTGATATTTCTAAGTAAAGTTGAATTAATAAATTTCTTTCAAACTCTTTAGAAAAATACATGATCTTTCTGTACTAGATTTATTGTGTAAAAAAAATTGTGTTGAAGTTTGAGTTGTGTCAAGCTCACATCAACATTCACGACCTCACATTCTTTCATGAGTCACACAGTGGGCCATCTGCCTGTCATTATGCAATGGTCTACCTCATGTTTTAAATGAAAAAACATAATGCCTACAATTGTCAGGTGCTGCATAAGAAAAGACTCTGAAATGTCATCAACTTTAGGAGTTTTGCTAATTTAAGACTCCTCAGGTAACTTTGGGATGTATTGTGATGCTCTGTTACTTTGCATTTAATAAATCCTTCCCAGAGAGTCCAGCAATGTAGCTTGATGCCTAGATTCTGTCCAATCCCCAATCAGGTTACTGTCAAGGCAAAGAAAGAAGCCTGTGTTATTTAATGGTAAACTCTTTCCTCTGGACTGTTCATACTGTTTTTTACTCAAGTTGCAGATTCACAGCTGGCTATGAATCAACTTAGTGCATACCAAGCATGTATGAGTCCTTGGGCAATTCCCAACATATGTGCCAATAAATGATTTTTAAAAATTACCTCAGGGGCAGGGGATGTTTCTCAGCTCACTGGTAGAGGCCACACTTAACTTGTGTGAGGCTCTGGGTTCAAAACCCAATACCAGAATCAAACAAATGACAACAACAACAAAACCCTCAAACACTTCTATGGATAAACCCAAGACTAGGACTATAGCTTC